TAGATTGTTCTTTGGTCTCAGGAGTGTAGTGATGTATCCATGTTTCATCTACAGTGATGAAACGACGCTTAAAGTCTTGCGGATTTTGCTGGAACAGCTGCAAACCATTCTTGCAATACTTCACACGATCTCGTTTTTGGTGAATCGTGAGCAATCGCGGCACCCATCTAGCGGATAGCTTATTCATGTCCAAATGTTGGTGCAAAATATTATGTACCCGTTCGTTCAAGATGCCTACAGTACTAGCAATCTCACGCATCTTCACTCTTCTGTCAGCCATCACCATATCATGGATTTTATCAATGATTTCTGAAGTGGTAACCTCAACAGGGCGTCCAGAACATTCAGCGTCTTTTGTGCTCATACGGCCACTCCGAAAATTTTGAAACCACTTATAAACCATTCTAATCGAAGGTGCACAATCACCATAATGTTTATTAAGCTTCTGTTTAATCTCCTGGAGCGTTTTGCCTTTGAAAAAGTAATGTTTAATCAATACACGAAATTCTTTTTCGTCCATTTTTTTACAACCACTCGATTTCTTTGATTGAAACGAATGTAAAACGCAAAGTAATTGGCCGATCTAGCTGAAACTTGGTGTGTGCTCTTCCAAGATATGCCACTAACTAAAAATAACCTTGATACACACTAGTAGCGCCATCTCTCTGACTTTGCACGGACTTTTCGAACGACCCTCGTATATAGCGTAAAAAATAAGAAAAACTAAATATAATAGTATACAACTATCTAAAGAATAAAAAGTATTAGTATGAAAAACAGCTTGATCAGAGCTATTACACTCTTCAACAATCTACCAAATCATCTTAAAACAATAGTCAACAAAAATAATATTAAAAAATATTAAAACAATGGATTTAATGAAATCCCTGAAACTAGAGTCTTCGAAAGCCGCGCTGCAAAAAAAGTAATTGTAAGGAAATCAATCAGTCATTAATTACCATGATCAAAGATTTTTTGTATCGTACTTCGGATGTCCATGAGGATATAAATCTCCTTAACAAGATTTACTAGACTTTAGAGCATATTTATGTGCCCATGGTTTTGGCAACTTATACATTAGAGCCCATAATAGATTAACTTCGTACAACTATACTAAAATGCAACATAAGAGTAATAAAGTACTAAATGTTTTAACAGACTTAACTAATACATTTTTTAAATCATGGACTGACTTGACAGGAACTGTGAAAATTGATCTAAAATGAAACATAAAACCCCACACTCAGGGTATTAAATACATACAATTTATGAAAGCCACAACTTCAAAATCAGAAGTTGAAAAATCCTCTCATAAGGCAAAATACGAACCCATCAAAACTGTTTTCGACACTATCGTTAACATAGCTGTTGACAAAACTAACAAGATTTTAATGCAAAAGACACTGCCAGCCCCTGGAAAACCATTACAGTCTGCAAACTGTATTAGCATGCATTATTATTATTATTATTAGTATTAGGGAAGATCAACTATTTGAGATACAAGAAAGCTCTTCTGTATTTTGATAGAGGAACGCAATCTTTCACTAACTCAGTTTATACCCTAAAATTTCAACCAAAAAATAAAGACCGAATAGTTGTAATAGTTGCGGTATTCACATCCAATTACAATTGTACCGATATTATACAATATCAAAGTATGTTCCCATACTATAGGGTAACACGTGCAGATGGACTCAATTGTCCGGCCCATCTAAACAAAATGAAAAGTATAATAGATACAAAAGAGAAGAAAGCAAGCATGGATTACTACAATATAGCAAGACAGATACTAATCAGATTCTGGTGAAGAAGATAATAATAGAATAGTACTGTATTTAGTTTACATTTTTGCTTCTTAACATGGTAGTATTCACTGCCAAATTTAGACAAATTGTACAATTTTTTATTTTTATAAATATTATTTTCCTTAGTTTTATCGTTTTTCTTTCCGTCTTTGCTTTTTTTCTTTTTTTCTTCTGTAATTATATGCCAGACCATCGCACAGGTATATATTACCTCTGATAGGTTTCAATATTTTGTAATGTATTTTATGTATATTGCTAATTAAGTAACTTATGTACTTACTCTGGTAATATATAAATTAATAAATATGAAAACTGTGATACTTAACTGATCTGAGTATATTTTGGAAAACAAATTGCTTTCTTAGAAAATTGGTTTCGAAATGCTTGTGTCAATGAGTAAATTACTTACCCTTGGAAAAATTTTCAGTTTAATTTGTGAATTAATTTATAAATTTTTTCTACATCTTTTCAATTGATGCATTTAGTTACTCTAAATAAAGTATAAGAATATATAGAAAGAATTAATTATTTGAATATCAATTCTAGACTGAACTTTTATCTACTGTTAATTTCAGATTTCGATTTACTATTAACTTTTATCTATACTATGATTCCCATTCATTACTTGAATATAACAATAATTATAAAAATTATAATATTCAATTTTTATACAATTTTTTGATAAACACAATGAATTAATCTATAGTACAACATTTGTATTCATGACTGTAAAAATTCTAATCCGATAAAATTGAAATTATACTCGTATTGTTGAAAATTGGTTAATGAATTTTTTATGAATATCCGCTTACATTGGAACTTAGTACTGCCGATTTCTACAATAATATACCCAACCCGAACCCTTGAGAAGTTACGTAAACGTGTATTTATTTTTTTAAAGTGTGAAAAACACCCGAATTTGCAAAAAATTCTAGCTCAGCCAATTTTCAATTTTTTTAACATTTAAAACGCCGTTCTCTTTTATCTTTACTATACTTAAGAAAAAATATATATATATAACATATGGCAAAAAGGTTGCATCTAAGTTCAATTTCAAGGTTAATGTAAAAAATCATGAAATTCAAAAATTAGACCTTGATTTCGAAGAAGAGAAGTGAGCGAAGTTATCGCGCTCTTACAAATCTTCTTCATTTCTTTTTTCCTGTCTGCCAGACCACCTAGAAGGGACAAGATAGTAGTGGATACCTGAACATAATAGAAAACCATGCGTGAAATACTTTAACATTTTAGTGACGATGCGTGGACGGGAGATGTGAACGTAAATGGCAGATCCAAAGATCCCCATTACATATTTTTGATTTTTGTATCTAAACCACAGGTTATATAATATTAAATATCAAGATCATACAAGAATTCAGAAGAGTCAGTTGAGCCGTCTTACGTGATAAATCATCTGCCGAAAAATCGAGACATCCTGAAGTGATTTTCCGGCTTACTACTTTTACGTTTATTGAGAGTTTGGTTGATTATGGAATTTTGAACTCATTTACAGAATTGAAAAAATGGTTACATTACAAAAGGAGAGAATACATATATATATACGATGGTGGTCCGATAAGTACTTAGCCTCACCGCCCGATGGCGCCATTCTCGTAAAAGAAATATTCTATCACGTAGTACAAACTTCTCGATGGTTACTGTCAAGATTTCAGCCGGATCGAAGTTGTACTTTATTTTTGAGAGCGTGTGAAAGCAAGTGTGTCCGTTCATTTTTGAAAAATGGAAAAAGAGCAGTATCGGTCGGTGATTCGATTCTTGTTTTTCGAAGCGAAATCAAAAAGCGCTTGGATGCTGTGTACGGTGACAATTCTCCTTCGATGGCGACCGTCAAAAATTGGTCTAACGAGTTTCAACGTGGTCGCACGTTGATTTTTGAAGAGCCACGTCCAGGTGCTCCGAAAACGGCTACCACGGAGGATAACGTGACGAAAATTCACGATCTCGTATTGGTAGATCAACGATTGAAGGTGCGCGAGATAGCTAAGATTATAGGCATCTCAAAAGACCGCGTGGGTCATGTCCTGCATAAAATTTTGGGCATGAGAAAGCTGTCGGCACGATGGGTGCCGCGTTTGCTCACTCCGGACAAGAAGCGCAACCTTGCGACAACTTCAGAGCAATGTCTGACGCTGATTAAGCGCAATCCGAAGGAGTTTCTGCGTCGTTTCGTTACAGTCGACGAAACATGGATCCATTGGTATACACCAGAGACCAAGGAACAGTCGAAACAGTGGACTTTACCCGGCAAAAGTGCTCCGAAGAAGGCGAAGACTGCCCAACCCCATCGGCCGGAAAGGTGATGACCACCGATGGGCACTATTCAGAAGGTGAGATTTACATCGACTACCTGGAGAGGGGCAAAACGGTTACTGGGCTGTACTATGCCGAATTATTGGGCCGATTCGACGTCGAATTGCAGAAAAAACGGCCCCATTTGGCGAAGAAAAAAATGCTCTTCCACCATGACAACGCACCGGCCCACACCTCCGCCGTCGTCATGGCCAAATTGATCGAATTAGGCTACGAACTGCTGCCCCATACACCGTATTCTCTAGATTTAGCCCCGTGCGACTTCTTTTTATTTCCAAATTTGAAAAAGTCACTCGCCGGGCAGAAATTTGAGTCGAATGAGGAGATAATCGTTGCCACGGAAACCTACTTTTCAGACCTCGAGGAAACGTATTTTTCAGACGGGTTAAAGAAGTCGGAGCATCGCTGGGCGAAATGTATCGAACTAAAAGGAGACTATGTTGAAAAATAAAACGCCACTTTTCCAAAATTTTCGTTTTTCTTTTGTAGGCTAAGTACTTATCGGACCACCCTCTTATACACATACAAACACACATATTTATATTACATACTCCAGAGAGACCTTTTTACGTAGTACGTTTGGTATACCATATTGAAAATCTCTGAATAAATATTAAGCTGAGTGCAACTGCTTCATACGTATTTTTACTTAAATTTAAATTTGTTAATTGTATTTTTTAAATGAATTTTAAAAAGGTTCTAAAAACGATTTGTTTAATTGAAATTGTTCCCAAATAATTGATGTAAACATTAATATATTTTATTATATATATTTTTTATTATATTTTTATTATATTATATTTATTTTACAATTTCTAATAATTAATTCCTCGGTAATTTATTATATAAATGAATTTATTTCAGTAATGTCCGTTGTGGCCTTCTACAATGTCAAGAAGGAAGTAACCAACCGATAATTGATGGAATTAATACCCTTTATTCAAGAACTATCATATCGAACAAAGGAAAAGAGTACGAGTGCAAGTAAGTCAGACATTGTTGATCTTTTATTCAAAAATAAATTAAAGCAAATAATTCAGGTCAACGCATTGTCACACCCACAGACCGGATTTCATGTACTCAAAGAAATTTGATGCGATTAATACAAATCTGAGCTTAGAATTGCTCCTTAACCCTTAGTTTTCGAAATATCTTAACCCAAAAACGTTAAAAACACGATTTTTTACTGTTTTACAACTTTCCTAACGTTGTAAAATAACATTTTTCTGCAAATGTGATAATTGTATTTTAAAAAGCAATTTCTGTCCTTCAAAACACGCTGCTTATTAGCATAAATATAAAATATAAATATATATATTTATATTTTATTTTTATATAATATTTATATGCCGATAAATTGGCACTTTAACAAATTTCGTTTAGCGCGAGGGAAGTTTCGCTTACTCTGTTTTTCTTGCGTTTCTCACTGCATAACAGTAACCCGCCACAAACCCGACAATGAGAAAAAGAGCTATCAAAACTAAGATGCTACCCCACATATATGCTTATATGTGTTCAGACGCTTGATCAAAATCATTACCATACGAGATCTGTTCCAAAAGTATTCGACCTACCTCGATTTGTCGCCGCTTGATTGAATATTTGTCTTGGAAGACAAACTTAGAAATAAGCTGTACTTGCTAAATTCATTTAATAACGCATATAAGCAATCCATATGGGCAGTGAAAGAACAAAATATTAAGTTGTTACCCGATGATTCGAAGAACTCAGCTTTCATTTGTAACAGATAAGCACGTCATTGCCACGCTTTTTCTACCAATTCTTTAACCCTTTAATGTCCAACTTGACCAAAATTCGATGCTAGCTTCAGCCTTATATTTTTTAACTAAAAGATAACTTAATAATATTGCAAAGTATCTTTCCTAACGTTTTTGGATCCACTCTTTCCGAATCCGAGATCAGATTAACGCAAAAAATAGTTTGAATAATAGTTTTTTAATGTTTTTTACAAAAAAAATTGCATATTTTACTAGTCTATTTTTTTTTAAACGTGAGTTTGACTTCGATAAAGTTATAAAATAATGATAAAATCTTTTCTACCGTGGTCATTGATAGTTTCTCTTGAGATATGAGTGATTCAGCGATTTGTTTCCGTCATAATAAATAAATACGGTGATTGTTTTTATGCGACTTCATTCTCATGATGTGTTATATGTATTTACTCGACGAGAATGTATTTTTATGAAAAAATCATAAGTACAAAAGTTTTTTTCATTGTTTAGATTATTTCAATTATAGTCCCAAAACTGAGGCCCGATTAATTTTTACATGCGGTGAGGCCCAAAACACGGTTTTTCATTAGAAATACTCAGATTTCATGAAAAATAACTTTTACATTATACTAGGCTTTTATATTGGTTGCCCTACATTGGGTCTGATATGAATATTGGGATATATTAAGCCCAAATCATGTTTTATATTGAAATTTTGTACGTATCACCTTGAAACTTAATCTGTTCTATCATTTATCATTATCTTTGGCTAATTTTCAAATATGTATTAAATAACCCGATAAAAATACATTTTTTAAATCCCGTGAGTAGTTATCTTCACATTCATTGATAATACTTTCCTAGAATAATTGCGAGATTTCAAATCATTGTGATTTGTGCACTTTACGGAATAAAATTTTTTCAATCTGGTTTTATTTCCAGCTACATGAATTCCACAAGAATCGACATTTTTTTTCCAATTGAAAAATTTTGTTTTTTGTCTTGTGTCCATCCTCAATATATTTCTGCAATATTTGAAAAAATGTATAGCAAAGTATATATCAACTCTTTTCAACTTACATCTATTGTACTTTCAATTGTACACTCGTGATTCGTCATACGTATATTCTGAATACGTGCACTAACGTTCCTGTTATACATATGTCTATGAACGCCATAGAGGAATAGAGAAAGTCGATATGAAATTACTGAGAAAGAAAATCACTATGAATGCGTATTTATTCCTAGTTTGGATGATTCAGGAGAGTTAGATAGTGATTGGTCAGATAGCGAAGATGATCTCGATGAAAATGTTGTCGATGAACTCACTGTTCAATATCCTTCTCGATCATATTCTGAAGTATATGATTATTATAATAATACTAAAAAAAATTAGAAGAAGCGCATGGATATTTTTGAATAGAAGGAGAGAAGATGTACGATCATTCTCTTTAGAATGAGATTTTCTTGTCCGAATCGGACAAAAGGAAAACCTCTAATCGATCTCCTGCAGAGATATTTAAGGAGGCTCCAGCGACTACCGCCGGGATCAAAAACACAACAAAAAATAAACTTTCAAACTAACGGCTAAAAAATCTTATAAGCAGTTTCTAAAGCAATATTATTACAAAATAGTACGATTTTCAACGACAGTTGGTAACTTTTTACAACAGAAGTTCCAGAACTTGAGTTTGGTACGACGCACATAACCTATAAAGTAGACAATTTCAGACTTTTTTGGAGAATATCTCAAAATTTTCTACGGCTATCCATATTTTGCAGTACATCATTCGAAAGACCAAGTTTTTATCTATAAGAAGATCAGTTTTTCATTGCGTAACTACACCATTACTTTTAGTTATTGATGAATTTCTAACATTTTTTCACTTTGTTCCATAAGATACTATACAAAAAGCGCAAACTTTGAGATGAAATATCTCGAAATTTTCCACGGCTTGAGGGGTAAAGAAGAATACCGTTGGATTCAGTGCATTTTCACTTATCGAAATCACTATAACTAACATCGAAACTTTTCAATACCCCTCCTCGCTGGAGCCTCCTTAAGTTGTTTTTCTCTACAGAATCGAAAAATTACCTTATAGAGGCTATAAAAGCTAATGGATATGAATTATCTCTAACAGATTTGAATACTTTCCTAGGTATAATCATTTTCTCAACATATAACAGGAGACCAGCTCAACGAGATTATTGGTCAACAGATCCATATTTGAAAAGTGATATTGTTTGCAACTTTATGAGTCGCAACAAGTTCGGAAAAATAAAAAAATTTCTGAAATGATCAAAGTTGGAAAACAAAAATGAGTCGGACAGAGTTTGGCGTGTTCGAAATAACAGAAATAGTCAACAGAAATATCAAGTAGTTTGGTTATTCTTGCACTGCATTTACCATCGACGAAATGATGGTAAAGTATTTTGGTAAATCTATTCTAAAACAATTTATAAGTGGAAAGCCAATTCGATTTGGTATAAAGCTTTGGGCTCAATGTAGCAGTTTTGGTTACCTTTTCCATTTTGACATCTACTGCAGAAAAAATGAAAAAAGTGACATATTAGCAAATTGTGCTTTAGGTAGTAGAGATGTTATTAAAATGTTGGAACATATGCTAAAATCTTTATCTGCTCGTAAGCTGAGTCACAATCATATTTATTTCGACAATCATTTTTGTAGCCCAGATTTACTAGTTCATTTAAAGAAAGTTGGGATTTAAGCCACAGGAACAATTAGAGAAAATCGGGTAAAAACAAAAAAAGTCTTGGATAAAAAAGCATCTAAACGGATTTATGTTGTACAACGTGACCAAAGTAGTGGAATGAATTTTATTACTGTACAAGATTCAAAGCCTGTTTCAATTCTGTACACTGTGTAACGGGGGCAGCGCCTTATTCGGCACTGATGTCACTAATTTATTAAGGGGAGAGTAAGAGAGGCACTTTCGCTCTTTAACAATCGGGGAACGAGAGGATAGGTCGAACGAATAAATAATTTTCCATACTTGGAACATACAACTTAAATCTATTCAGACAAACAAATACAAAATCGGTTACAATAAAGTTTACATCACGCGCACATATACAGAACAACTTAAACTAACGACGGAGGATGAATGGCCCGGCGACTAAGCCTTGACAATTAGCCTCCTTACAAAGGAAAGAATACGTCGAAACCTCTCTACCGCATTACGATGAGCGTAGCCGGCAAGTGATCGCCTGGCTACCTATCGTTCCTACGCGGCCGCGCATCACCATGAGAGAGAGAAATACCGGGGGAGAGAGATAACCTGACCTTTGTCCTTGGCGATGAGCCGGCAACGGGGAGTTGACCTGGCCGAGGGCTGGACGTCTTCCTTGGTGTAGCCCGAAGTGAACCCACTGGAAGTCATGCCGTGCATGGCGGCGAGGGCGACACTGAATGCCCTGCTGCAGGTGTTGCCGCCACACGTTGCCTCGGCTCGCCCTGGTCTGGTCACTGCTGCACGTGTACTTCTTCTCTCATTGCGCTGCTACTTCCAACTTCTCTCCTTAACTTTCTTCCGGGAACTGCCTCACGCGACTTGACGCATGGTCAGCATTCGCGCTCTCGCCGGGTTCTCCCACCAAACCCACTCATTAGGCGGCGTGCGACAAAAGCGCTAATTGGTCGCGCGTCACACACCGGCCCAAACCTGCATAGTGCGTGCATAGACGCGCACTCTAGCATGCTCGCTAACTCTCTCTCTCTCTCTCTGTCTCTCTCTGTCTCTCTCTACCTCATAGTCGTTGCGCTCTTGCTTCTTCGGGCGCTCTCAATCTTGCTCGGCAATCTTCGGTGGCTGGAAAAACATAAAGGCCAGTGGTTAGGCGCAATAAATATATGCGCCGAACGCTGACCACGTCGCCATGCCGAGCGATAAGAGGGAGAGAGAGAAGGAGGGCAGACGAGGAGCAAGCGTACTGCTTGCTCTCGTCACAACTGCAAAAGGTGTTAATCTCCTTGGTGCTGTGAAAAAATACAGTAAAACTGAAAAACGGAAAACAGATATTACATTTCCTAATGCTTTTAAAATTTATAACCTATTCATGGAAGGGGTTGACATCCATGATCAGTATTGCAACAAAGTCATATCCGTTTTTCGATCTAAAAATGGACATGGAGCATTCTAATGCGAATAATCCAATCATATATTACAAATTCAATTGCGTTGTGGAACACTATTTAACCAGACAACAAACGAAGGATTAAAGAATTTGCTA